TAAGAAAATTTATTCCGAACTTGCACAGACTTAGTTCTGTTAACCCCAGTTAATGATGAAAAATAAAATTTGCTGAATTTTTCCGACTTTTTCAGCAATTCAAAAACCCAGTAAAATACTGACTCCTGTAAAATAATTTAAGTGTGTAGGTATGCTTTTCTATTATATTTTTTTTATTTGAAAAGTGGAGCCACGCTGTTAGCTACGGATTTAATTGTTTAATGGTTCGGACTATTTAATCTCACATTTTGAGTAACCAAAACCACAGATTTCTTTTCTAACTGTTCACTTTTGAAAATGAGCTGAAGAGCTGCTCAAAAGAACCGGCTCATCTTAGTGAACTGAATGTGTCAGATCCACTCAGCAAGATGCGCCGTTTTTGCCACATCTAGCACCTACCATGATCTTGTCGAGTACAATGAGGAACAGTAGCGGTGATAGTATACATCGTTGCCTCAAACGAGCGACAAGGACAAGGCTCGGTTATGCAGAACTCTGCACGTGAAAGCCTCATTCTGCGCTGCGATGAGGTTAATGATTTTATCTGGGACTCCTTTGCATCTCCCACAGATTCTCGTGATTGAGTCAGTCGAAAGCTTTTTTGTAGTCAATGAATACCAAATCTCCCACTATTTGGGATTCGTTGACCTGCTCCAGGATGATACGGAGCGTGACAACAGCATACAAGATCGGGGAATCATGTCGATCTTCTTCTTATCGTATTCAAGAAAACTTTTCACAGTGCAAATCCTGCACGAAAAAAGTGGTATTCAATTCAGCATACCTTAATCTGTGCCTACGCTGTGCCAAATTAGCCGAAATCTGTCAATATCCCAATAAAAAATCTAACTTTTTTGTTTGAATAAATTAAGGTATACATTCTTGGGCAAAGGGGTGCACGACGTTAGGCATACGGTCATTAGGCATACGGACGTTAGGCATAATGTACGATAGGCATAATGGACGCTAGGCATAAAGGACGTTAGGCATATTGGACGTTAGGCATAATCTACAAAAGAAAAGAAAAATTTCATATAACTTTTACAGGCGACTGAGAAAAGAGCAAAACATGTAGACAGTTTTTTTTGGATTCTTGACCCCTCTCCCCTGCGTTTATAATTCTCCATACAAAATGTTTTAAATTTGTATGAACCGTGGACAATTGCCAAACCCCCCCCCCTAAACTGTCTACGTAGTTTATGAACAGCCCCTTATATGTTTGAGGATTTTTTGGTTTATTTTCACCGTGTTATTCGAATTAGAGCTGGGTAGCCTGTCACGCACATAACGGTTAACAAAATGTTATAACTTATCCAAGCCACGTCCATGATAGGTTGAGATAAACTATGGCATTGTATTCGTAGGCTAGGTATATTCAATATCAAGCAGTCGCTTTAGGATAACACACATCGATTGACATCGAAATCCAATTTGAAAAATCCTTTACAAGTTCTTTTGGTGATTTACAGAGAAAATTCATACTGGAATGATATTTTATTTCGAAAACATTCCGGTATGTAGAAAAAGTTCAACTAACAACTTTCTTTTTTGTGAACGGTTTCAGAGATCCTGACTCATGGCTGCAGTTCATAATGCGAATTAAAGGAATCTCATTTCGGAAATACGAGAAGGACCTTCACAGCCTCTATAATTATTATTTGAGGTATGACATTCAGCACCAATATTTTTCTTATTGTATAACTCACAGAAGATATGAGTTTTTGAATGGTTTGGCGAGGAATGTTTGATCATTATATGCTAATAAAATAAGTTTTTTTTTCCATCGTTCATCATCGGTGCTTCATCTTTAAACAGGACTGTTTTTTATCACATGCATTACAAATACATCTTTATGAGTGTTAACTTCACTGCTTCACTACTGTGCATCAAATAATAAAACGAATACGTGCTGGGTTATGCGGTTGTGTTGGCATTGCATTTTTTTTTTTTTTTCCTTGTCGGGTATTTTCATCACTGCGACCATTTTTCTGATCTATTGTGATATATTCCCCATTTTTTTTTTTTTAGCTATATCAAGATGCCGTATCACTATTATTAGGAGTGATCGCCATCGTTTGACTAATAGCATTATCCCAGCACGGCATTATACTTCGAATAAAGTGCACTGCCGTACTGGGAGTTGTTCTCCAAATGTCAAAGGGTTCTATCAGCCCCTTGTCGAAGAACTTACGCCTTTTATTGAAAATTGCCGGACAGTGGCATAGCAAATGTTCCGAGTCTTCCTTTTCTATGCCACAGAAGCGACATACATCATCTTGAAGTTTTCCAATCAGCTTCAAGTGATAACGGCTCGGACAATGACCTGTTATAAGACCTGCATATATACTAAGATCTTTCTTATAAAGTTCCAGGATTTTGTGGGTCACAGAAATGTTTGGATTAATAAATCGCTTCGACTGCCTAGCAATGGAAGTGTTCTTCCAGTTTTCCTCCACTTTTGAAGATTCCCACGCTTTTAGCTCCATTCTAAGAGATGCAGCCGATAAGCCACAAAAGGGCTCTGGCCCGATGAACTTATGAGAAGATCCGAGTCTTGCTAGTGCATCAGCTCTTTCATTTCCCTCAATCCCGCAATGACCAGGAACCCAATATAAGTTGACTTGATTATGACAAGACAATTTTTGAAGTGATTGAACACACTCCCAGACAAGTTTTGATGTACATGTCGCCGACTTTAAAGCATTTAGAGCAGCTTGACTGTCGGACATGACGCATATATTTGAACTCTTATAGTTTCTACGCAAACATATAACGGAACACTCTAAAATTGCTTGGATTTCAGCTTGGAACACAGTTGGCCATCTGCCCATAGGAACCGATATTTCTATCCCTGGGCCAGTTACTCCTGCTCCCACTTGATTGTTCAATCTTGAACCATCTGTATAAAAAACAATCGATCCTGGACGAAGAACCGGGCCACCAAATTGCCATGAATTACGCCCAGGGTCAACTACTCGAAAAAGTCGATTGAAGTTGTATCTTTTCTCCATCCAGTCTTCGTTGTTCCTTACTAGAGAGTTGATACTAACAGTTTTTAGAATCGTAAGATGTCCTCTAAGGTCTCCTTCAAAGAGTTTCACTGACCTTGTAATCCTTAGAGCACACTTTTCGGCTTCTAATTGTACAAATTGATGCAATGGTAGCATATAAAGCAAAGCATCCAAGGCCTTCGATGGTGTACTTCTCATTGCACCTGTTATTGAGAGAGTTGCTAACCTTTGGAGTTTTTCTAACTTTCTCTGAACAACACTCTCTTTTGTTTTTGGCCACCAGACCAATGCACCATAAGTAATCCTGGGTTTCACAATTGCCGAGTAAATCCAATGGATCATTTTCGGTTTCAGTCCCCACTGTTTACCGAATGTTCTTTTGCATATCCATAGAGCATTAGTAGCTTTGTTTATTGCCTGCTCTAGGTGCATATTCCAATTAAGTTTACTATCAAGGATTACTCCAAGATATTTGACAGCATTAGAAAGTTCCAAAAGTGTGCCTTTCAATCTTATGTTGTCTAATGAAAATTTCTTCCTTCGGGTAAATGGCACGATAGTAGTTTTAGAAGGATTTATGTTTAATCCTTCCCTATCACACCACGATGAGACAAAATTTAATGCAATTTGCATTCAGTTAGCGATAATACAATCATATTTGCCACGTACAATTATGACTATATCATCTGCGAAGCCAATTATTTCGAAGCCATTGGCTATTAAATTTTTGAGAAGATCATCAACTATTAAAGACCACAATAGAGGTGATAACACGCCTCCTTGCGGGCATCCTTTGGTTGCTCTTACACTGATGAGTGAGCTTCCAAGGTTTGCTGATATTTCTCTTTTTGATAACATTTCATTGATCCAATTTACAATGCTTTGATCGAAACCATGTTTCATCATAGCTGTAGTCATTGAATCGTGAGATGAATTATCGAATGCACCTTCAATGTCAAGGAATGCAGCAAGTGAAATTTCTTTTGCTTCAAAAGAACTTTCTAGTTTTGTAACAACCGTATGGAGTGCTGTTACTGATGACTTACCTTCCTGGTATGCAAATTGATATTTGCTCAGAGGATTTGTGACTAAATATGATGACTTTATGTGTTCATCTATTATTTTTTCCATTATTTTTAGCAAAATAGACGATAAACTTATTGGCCTGAAGGATTTTGGTGAAGTTTTATCCTTTTTATTAGCCTTGGGAATAAAAATAACCCGCACTTGTCGCCACACTGCCGGTATATAGCTTAATATTAAGCTTGCTCGAAATATCTTTGTTAGAATAGGCATTACAACCGCTTTTCCCTTCTGTAGTAGTACAGGAAAAATTCCATCCCTACCTGGTGACTTGAAAGGTTCAAAGGAGTCAATCGCCCATTCAACTTTTCTTTCAGTAAAGATTTTGTTGGCCAAAGTGCAAGCATCAGCTCTTGTTCTGTCTAACTCAGTCCAATATTTCATGAATATCCGTCCTGGTTTCATCGATACCAATTGCTGTTGTCGTCACGTTTTGGTCTTCGTTTGAATTAATAATAGAACATGGAAAATGCGTTCTCATCATCAACTCTAACGTTTCATTTATAGAAGTAGTAAAAGAGCCATCCTCTTTTTTCAAAGTGCCCAGACCATTGGAATGATCTTTAGCGAGTATTTTCTGCAACCTAGCAGTTGCTGGAGTATTTTCAATGTTCTCACATGTATGCCTCCAGTGTATCCTCTTTGATCTCCGTATTTCCTTATTATAGGCGGTGAGGGATTCCTTATATTGTTCCCACTGTTGTGTTCGTTTAGCCCTATTGAAAAGCTTCCGGGCTTTTTTACGAAGTTTCTGTAGCCTGTTGTTCCACCAAGGTACATCCCTGTTTGTAGAGCGTTCCTTTTCGATGCAACTCTCATAAAAGGCATGTGGATCAAATTTGAAAGTTGTTTAGAACTATTCTCAAGTTCTTCACAAGTGTTTAAGTTAATTGCTATCGTGCCTCTTCCTGCCATTAGCTCTGAATTATATAGCTCCCAGTCTGTTTTCCTAGGATCTCTAAAAGTTTGTGTGAGCTGTTGACCAGCCTCATATTCAAATAATATTTGCTTGTGATCAGACAAAGATATTTCGTCTGACACATGCCAATTTTTGATTTTGTCTGAGATTATTGGACTACACAAAGTCAGATCAAGAACTTCTTGTCTAATTGCATTTATAAATGTTGGAGCATCTCCTCTGTTACATATATCTATATCATTGTTGGAAATATAATCTAAAAGGTACTCACCTCTGGTATTGATGTCCGTGCTAGCCCATATTGTGTGATGAGCATTTGCATCACATCCAATTATAAATGCCTTATTTTGTTTCTTGCAGTATGAAACAAACGCCGCTACTTCTGGTGGAGGTACATCTCCCAGGTCTCCTGGAAAGTATGCTGAAGCAATATATATTTCCGTTTTCCCGTGAGTTGTTGGAACCTCCATCAGGACCGCAACAATGTCTCTTTTTATAAATTCTGTAATAGGAACTAAATTTACTCTTCCATTTACTAAAATTGCAGCTCTTGGAGCTAATTGCCCTTCATCGTAAATTAACTTACAAGATTTTGTAGGAACTCCTAATATCCTACTTTTATTTGTCCATGGCTCCTGGATAAGGGCAATGTCCAGTTTTCTCTCTGTGAACCTTTTACAAAGTACAGCAGTTGCTCCCTTTGCATGGTGAAGGTTCACTTGAACAAATTTGATTTTATTGTTGTTGAAGTTGTTGTTGTTCACCGCTCGCATGGGGATTTAGTTCTTCCCCAACATTGGTTTTGCGGTTCCCCTTATTTGGATTGTTTTCTGCTTGGATCCTAGTAATTTTGTATCCTGGCTTCAATCCTTGTTTTTGTGGTGTATTCTTTTCTTTTCTTTTGTCACCGACTGTATTTGTAGTGTAGCCAGGAGCATTACGGTTTGTTTTTTTGCTCTCGACACCACTTGGTCCTGGGATTTCGTCAATTTGATCTACGATCATCTTGTCATCGCCAGTGCCTACGTGGGTCTTTTGAGATTCACCATCATCCCTTTGCCCTGGTCTTTCACTACCATCATGTAGATTTCTCTTCTGGAACTTTTTTCTTATGTTGGCATTTCCAAACTTGAAATCAAGGATGAATTTACTGTTTTTGATGGAGTTCAAGGATCCTCCGTCGACAGTGAAAACTAGTTCTACATGTTGGTTTTTTACGTTGCGCTGCAGTATCCTCCATGCATCAACAGCCAACCCATCGTTTTGACTTTCTAGGAGAGTCAGAATTTCTTCATTTTTGTCCTCTGAACTCCAAGGGAAGAAACCAATGAGTATTTCAGGACGCGGGATTTCCTTTTCATCCACTGCTAACAGCTCTGCTCCTGACCAGGGAGTTACTGTAGAAATAATGCTTTTTAGCCAGTCTGCAGTTTCTTTATTTTTACAGACTATGACTAAATAGCCCGATTTGAAAACACAATCGCCAAATTTTGGTTTCAATGGTGCTTTTCGTTGACCTGCTACTTTAGCTAAAATTGCTTTTTGCGTAGCAATTAATTGAGCTGTTGTAAGCTCCATATTCGGGTATCCTTTTGGGAGCACACCCAGCTTCACATACTTCGCAACATCGCTGTAGGATGGGTTGACTTTACCCTCTTTACCTCTAGGAGGTTCTGAGTGTTCTGATCGAAACGCATCAATACGGTTTTGAACCGAAATATTCTTGACTGGAGGTTTACGAGTACCCCAGTTCTGCCGAGCAATTTTAGCGGGTGTTGGATTGCCACTTGTATTTGACCCATTCAGGTCCGAGTTTCGCGGTCGTTTGTATGGATCTGATGGTGTAAGTGGGTTTTTAGCCAAACTGAAAGCTTCTGCTCGACTATGCCCACTTTCCAACAGTTTTTTGTAACGTTTTTGACCAGCTCCACTTAGTTTTTTTCCCTTTTGTTCCCTCTTTCTTATGAAAAGAGGCATTGAACGTCTCCTCCGGTTTCTTGGAGAGTATTGTTGATGGTGGGGATGACAATAGGGTTACATTGATGCCATCTTCGTAGTCGTCGTCATCATCGTAGTCATCATCCTTACCAGTACCATCATTATCAGTGTTTAGGATGTACGAAGAACACGAAAGAACATCCTCGATGGATTTGCTTTGAAGTCGCAATTCCTCTACTTCGCCTTCTCTATTATTTTCCATCTCTAATCCACTCATACTGTTGCTAAGAACACAAAAAAAAGAAAAAGAAAACAAGTTTACATACGATGCTAAGCCTTAAAAACAAATTTTTGTTTTTCAAGGAAGCAATTCATATAGATTTAGCCATAATAATTGAGATGTTGTTTAAATTTTTTCAATAAAATAGTAATTAATATTTATAAAATAATCTTGACACACAAAACAAAACAAGAAAATATAAAACCAATTTATTTATTTATTTTCCCGCAAGAGTCGTTTGTCCCCACTCTCCCCCATCGTTTGCATTTTTTGCCTTGTGTGTGGCGCATACACGCTACCGATATTGTGAGTGTTTTGTTTTCACTTGTTCGATACCCCGGCACACTCGATGGTCAATGGAAGTGAACCAGACAGTAAAATTACAAAGCGATGTCAAAAGCCGTCCAGCTGTGGGTTGTTTATTGAACGGTAACAAGTGGTGGGATTAATCTACACAAAGTTGACCGTGTCGAAAGCGACAGCCTGACAAAAACTATAAATAACTTCACTTGTGGGACTTTTATTGTATTCACCACTCAATTTTTATCACTATAAATCAATGTTGTGATTTGTTATTGTTCACCTAACCTCACTTTTTGCATAAAGGTTAGCATAACTTGTATGCAAGATGGGCTTTATTTATTCCACACACTGCACACATGTATTGTTTCTCCCGATGAGCCACTGGGAGTGAATAAAAACTACTTATTTAAGTAGATATTTTGCAAAACTCTGTCTACTCACGTACAAAGTTTTAATCCTTAGCACTTTCTTGATGTTTGCACTAATCACTCACAAATAAAGGAGGCACTTTTATAGTGAATTTCCGAAAAATTTGAGAGCCGATGATACTAAACTTGCACAATAAGCGAACAGAGTTGCCAGAAGTCATTGGCATTGCATACAACAAAGAACAAAACGTCAATATTTGAAAAGAATCAAGCGGACGCATGGTTGTTGAAATATTTCAAACAATGGATCAATGTGTTTGTTATTTCAGCAACGTGGTTTCATCGAAATTGTATTGTTAGGACATGCTGATCAGTGAGAGGTTGGTTTAGTTTTCATTCAAGTATTCAAGCGGTCAGGCGAATCAAAATGGAGAACGTTAACGTTGAGGTCGTAAAATCGTCACGTGGAAAAGATATGTTGGCTATAGCGGGCTACATATTTTACTGCAACCGCAAAGAGGTAATAATTAATCGCAGCGAATATATCACTCAGATGTACAATTTTTGTTCTTTTTTTTAAGATCGAGAGCAACATCTATTATTGAGAGTGCCGTGTCCGCTGTCATACTGCCGATGATAGAGAAAAGTGTCCGTCAAGAGCCAGATCAACGATAGTAAACGGGCAGCATAAAATACTCGGCATCTCAGAACACAACCTTCAACCAAACCCTACAAGTAGTCAAGTAGCCCATTTCCGACATAATCTAAAAAGACGAGCGCAATCGGATACCGGAGGAGTGTCTAAAGCTATTCAGGAGACACTATCGGAATATTCGTCGGAGGTTCAGAGCCAGATGTCCGAATCAGCCCGCCGGAAAGTTGTTGAACGAGTGCGAGATCCCGTTTCCCTGGATGAATTTGTTGTACCCGATGAATTCCAGAAGGATAATAATGGGGATCGTCTATTGATTGCTGACATCGGTGACAATAATGAAAGAGCCTTAATTTTTTAGACTCATGAAAGCTTACGACGTCTCGGACAGGCAAAGTATTGGGTTGCAGATGGTACGTTTGCCACAGTTCTTTGTTTGTTTCGGCAACTCGTCACTGTTCATGGAAGTATCGCTCCCTCACATCAGCAGACGGTTCCGATACAACAGAATCGTTGTATCGAAAAGTATGGGAGGAAATTCTGGAAGCAGCAGGTATGTTTTTTGTTATTGAATGAAAAACCACATCATTTTTCATTTCTTGAGCTGTTCTTTGGCATCATCTCTTATTCAAACTTAGCTGTTTTTTTGTGATTGAATGAAAAATCACAGAATTCACCATTCTTTACTTCATGAGCTGTTCTTTGGCATAATCTTTTATTCAACCATAGCTGTTTTTTTTGTGATTGAATGAAAAATCAAAGAATTCACCATTCTTTATTTCATGAGCTGTTCTTTGAGGAAAATTTTTCTTCTTTGACAATCGCAATATGTGTGTAAGAATATATTACAACAAATGTGTGATTTTTTTTATTTCTAGATGCGACTGACGTCGATTTGGAACCAGCATATATTATCACCGATTACGAGAAGGCTCTGATAAACTCAGTGATTGCTGAGTTTCCCGATGCCAAACATTCTGGCTGCTTCTTCCATTTCAGCAAGAATCTCTTCAAATTCATACAGCAGCATAAAATGTTGAACGATTTTGGTCAGAACCCAGCGGTACACTCTACGTTCAAAAAAGTGCAAGCATTAGCCTTTTTACCTCCTGACGACATCGCCGCCACCTTTGATATCGTGAAGCAGAGACACCGGATAATATGAAGCCATTCTTTATCTATGTTGAGGAAACGTATGTCTGTGGCCGATCGAAGTGGCCAGACAGGGGAAGGAAAATAGCTAAAATAGCCCCGCTATTTCCACCAACTTTCTGGTCGGTTTATGCCAATGTTTTGGACAAGGTTTCGCGAACAAGTAACCAGGCTGAAAGCTGGCATAACCGCTGGACAAAGATAGTCGGCGGCAAACATGTCGGCGTAGTAAGGATCTTGGGAGAAGTAAAAAAAGAAATTTAATACTTTATAGGGCTGATTGCTGCAATACAGTCAGGTGCATCGGTTCGAAAACGAAAACGCGAAGACACTGCTAGGGAAACAAGGATTTCAGATATAGTTCAAAACTATGCTGAGTTTTTAGTGCCAGATTACTTAACCGCTATCGCTACTAACCTTGGATCTAAGTAAATATGTAGCGACGTCACTTATGATTTGATAAATAATGGATTCCAAACTGTGCTTATTAAATAAACTATGTTTGTATAGCTTGTTTCATCTTTTATTCAACGCTTAGCCTAATTTAAGCATAGTTTACCATACGCGAAACAGGTTTCTAGAGTTGCACAGCAACAAGGTATTTTATGCTTAACGTCCATTATGCCTAACGTATATTATGCCTAACATCCATTATGCCTAATGACTTTATGCCTAACGTCCATTATGCCTAACGTCCGTATGCCTAACGTATTTATGCCTAATGGGGTACACTCTGGGCAAAGTTATAGCTGACCTAATTTCAAGCAACTTTGTAGAAAACAATTTTTTTGAATCTCTTAAATTGGCCGATTTAGATCCTGGAAATAATAGTTTTTTAGAACTAACATTTTTGTTTAAAATTTCTCATGAAAGCTATCCTCTAGAAACTTTTAAAACTCTTTAAGACGAATGTTTTGTAGAGAAATTTGTTAGCCTGTATCTCTTCTAATAAAAAAGATATACCCAAATATAGTAAAAAAAATGAATAAATTCTAATTGATTTTATACGAGTTTTAAAAATTACATACCTCCAGTTTTTTTTCATATTATTCAGAATAACATACGCCCTTTCAAATGCCGTATAAAAACCTTTTTTTTTGTTTGCCCCAACCAGAGAGATTACCATTTGAAAAATGCATATTTTTAGTATAAAAACGTCATTAACTCTTGATTGGCCGAAGATATTGACAAGCTTTTTGCAGCAAAATTTTGCGCCTTCTAAAGATCTAAAATTCATTTGAAGACTCCTTTGTTGAGAAATTTGAAATAAGAAAACTATAGCAAAATAACTGTTTTTTTAGCGCCACCCTAACTCAATTCAAGAAAATAGCTCTTAATCGGCCAATTTAAGAGATACAAAAAAGTTGTACTGAACAAAGTTGCTTGAAATTAGCTCAGCTATAACTTTGTCGAAGAATGTATACCTTAATTTATTCAAACAAAAATGTTAGATTTTTGAATTTAATGATAATAAGAACCACCCTAGAATTCATTGTCATAAAAATGAGGGTCTAACTATAAGGAACAACTTTGTAGAAGAAATTTTTAGTCTAAAGTTTCAATTTCAGGCTTAAAACATATCATTCCACCTAAATCTGCATTCTGGACCACTGTGCACTGGTGAAGCGACACGTCACGCAAAACCTCCGGCTCAAGAAAGCCGACTCGACCTTTCTTTGTGTTCAAGATCGCTGGCATTGAACTGTCTGTGGAAGGTTGTCAATGATCCCTATGGTAGCGATCATTTGCCAATCATCATTTCAATTTTGTGTGGCCCTCACTCTGCAGAACCATCTCGAATTCCAATTGATCTTACAAGGAACATCGACTGGCATAAATACGTAACGGCGGAGACAATCGGTGTCGAATCGATATATACGATAGATACACTTAAACCGTTGGAAGAATATCGATTCCTCTACGATTTGATTTAAAAAAGTTCACTGGAAGCATTTAAAAGAAAGTTCCAAGTGTACTCTTCAAAAGGAGACTAGCCACAGCTGGATAGGACGAAGAACTATCTTCGTCCTATCCAGCTTCGAAAAATATTCAAAGCTAGTGACAAAGCTGAAACCATTAGTCAAAACAAACAAACTTACTTTCGTACCCAAGGATATGAACCTCCCCAACGCACCGGAACTAAGGCCCGTCGAAAAATACTGGGCTATTATGAAGCAGGCACTACGGAAGCATCCCAAGGAGGCCAAATCTGAGGAAGACATGAAGAAAAAGTGGGTTTCCGTACAGAAGAAGCTATAGCCAGATGTTATACATAATCTAATAAGTGAAGTTAAGCGTAAGGTGCGAGCGTACGGTAATGGTATTGAAATTGAATGAAATAAACATGCCAAAGTTTACTAATGGGTTATATTTTATTGTC